TGTGTAATATTTGGAACTGTTTCTTCTACAAAACTCTGTAAAATTTACCTGGCAGTGTATTCATCTGAGCACCAATAGGTGTTGAAATGTCAAGAGAGAGAAGATCGGCGATAAGAGTGTCTTGAGAAGGAATGACTGTGGGAGCAGGTGGGCGATTTGCTCCCACCATTGAGCCACTGGCAGAGTCGATGGAAGACTGTCCACTAAATAAAGGAATAAGAAATAAGTAATTTATAAGATAGTTGATGAAACTTACTTAGTCACACCAGTTCCGGCTCGCAGTGGTTGTCGTGCGCCATCTACGAAAGATGACGGAGGCTTGTGATATACGGAAGCAAGGCTGCCAATGTGACATACTAACTGATCTAAAAGAGATGGCTCCAACAGATCCGTCTCTTCCGAAATTAGAGGTTTCTCTGCCAGAACAACTTGCTTGGCTGCAGCTGGATCAGCGGATAAGAGACGCCAGTATATGTATCTAAACCATGAAAATTAGTTTTCCTTCTCACTTCTTCTTCCACCAGTATAACTAAGCGGTTAAAAGTTATCAAACACCCACCCACGATCTCTCAAATCAGGATTATCGCTATCTTGCGTAGCAAGAGATAGGACTCGTTGAACCAGTTGTTGAGTATCGGTAGGTCTTTTAAGGAATAATTTGACAACAGCGGTGAGAAGTTGAAGCTGTACCTAAATTTAAGAGAAATCTCTCACAGACCGTCATACTTTCGAAAGAATGGCAAATAAATGCTGGATAGGGAGAACGCCTACTTGTGTATTTTCGTCGTGGAATCCCTCGACGAAACTCTCCAGCAATTCATCAGCGTTATCAATCCTCTCAGCATATTCACCTATGATCCATATCATAGAGGCACGCGCTTCGGGTTCATCTAACGTATCCAAATTCTTAAATGTGAAATGGTTTGGATAAAAAGTTCTTAAGATTCTATAGGTTGAAAAAATGGAGGAACTAAAATTCTGCCAAGGTGAAAAGAAAAATAAAAAAAAAACAGAAGAACATAATTAGCACAACTCACCTCACAAAGGGTAGAGATGATACTCTCATAACGATTCGGGTATTTACGAAAGATGTCCTAAAAAAAGTAAACCACTGTTTGCATCGTACTTGGCTACAACATAATGTTAAAGAAACAAATGTTCGGTACCACTTTTTGAGAAGTCTCCTACTACTTTCTGTAAATTTTCTCAAATGGGTCGTCAGGTTAACATAGGTGATAAATCACTTTGGGCTGCAAGGTTTAAGCTCTGACATGCACAGCTAAGAAATATCGGATAAAAGATCGTATTGAAAGATCGCACTAGACGTTTGCCCTTGCAGTTTCTAAAAAATGAACGTGCAATATGATGAGCACGACCACATCAGGTAATTAGATCATGTCGAATTTTCTGTTCTCTAAGCGAAAAAAGGTGTCGACGATAATAAGGGGAAACATTTTCTCTAGAAGTCCTTTACCATCCCCACATCTATGGATAGAGAGCTTTAAAACAACTTCGGTCCGAAAGTTGTTCTTTTTTACAAACTCAGAAACTTTCTAAGAAACGAGAAGTTTTGGTAAAGCATATATTGTTAAAAAGATCGCTTCTAAAGGGTATACCTGGCTTACCCAGTGATTCCAGCTTTGCTGAATTAGAAATGATTGAACTTGAAAGCTAATTGAAAAAAGGTCAGCTGAGAGCCTGATTTTTTTAAATGCATGAAGCTTGAAAATCGCTATAGTGAGTGAGATGATCGGATATGCTTATTACAAAAATTATATCCACTATCCTCGTAGGTCTTACAGTAGATTTACAGTAGTGCTACAATGAATCAGGAAACTGCTGAAAAGAGGTCCAATAGGGTTACTCGACATGTTGATTACGTGACATCCACACGGCAAAATAAGCCTCACTGTAATATTAGGGTGGGTAGACGATGGTAAGATGAAAATCACTGATCTAAAAAAAGGAGTTGAATAACTCCATGTCTACCTTGCGAATAGCTTTATCATGGGGATTGATGTGATTTTTGTAACCAGCATGTTGATTCATTAACCCTATTAGAGTTTTCAAGCAAATCTGTGAGCCTGACCATATACCTACCTACCATAATCCTACGGTATAGTCCTATCACAAGTGGCTATAAATTTCGTAATTGGCATAGCCGATTACCCCATAAAGTGGCATTACTGAGATTTTTGCGCTCCTCACAATCCAGAAAAATGAGCAGCTGGTTAAGCTTTCTTTAGCCCTTTGATAACTTCTAATCATCTTTCGAATGATATACATTGTGCAATAAACTGCTTTTTTAGAAATATTGCTGAGTTCAAAAAAAA